ATCATTATAAGCAACATTTATTTCATGATTACACAAATGAAATTGGCCGAATTCCTCATGTCTACCGTAAAATTGTATGCATATATTGCAGAATATTTATATTAGTATACTTTTCAAAATCTGATACCACCAGTCAGATACCAATTTTATATCTATCCTTAAGAATAGCAAAATTATTGAAAAAAATATCCGAAAATAATATGGATATGGTAACAACAAAAATGTCCATAGCTATAATTCTGAAGCATTTATTTCTAAAATAGACTGTCGCAATTGTTCCGTGCAATATACTGGGAAAAATTGCAAAAAATTAAAAAAATATATATCTATGAACATGAAAAGGTTCTCATGCAAAAGAATTTATAAAATGCATTAGTCATACATAGACATATATTCAACCACAAATTCCATCTAAAGAATGTCTCGCTTATCAAAAGAGAAATTAACTGACTTGGACAGAAAGTTCTTGAAAGTTAACATGTGCCTCGGTTTTTTTTTTTTTACTATTTCTTATTTCTTAAACGAAATATGCATTTCCCAAGTCAATATAGATGACAGGAATATAAATAAAACGATACGGTTAAATAAAAATCATTCTATAAATAAATACATATATACTTTGTCACATTAAAATATGAAAATACATAATAATTACATAATAAAAAAATAAACATATAATATAAATAATATATGAAAATAAGAAACATAACTCCAATGACAATATTTACTCACGTTAGTTTTTAGGCGCTAAATTACATCCATTAGCAAACTCCCTCACTTTTAAACTTAACTTGAAGATTATCTATAAGACTCATTAAATTTAAAATTTTTTATATATATATATATATATATATATATATATATATATATATATATATATATATATATATATAACTTCATTTTCGAAATATATTTTGCAAAATAAAATCCCTATATTTACCTGATAGCGTCTATCAGAAGACGAAACGTTTCGGTAAAGAAAAGTTTTCCTTTTTTTCTTTATTGATTAATCCCGATATATCAAAGATATTAAGTTATAATTATCTGCAAAAAATAAGGAAAAGACAATTACATTTTAATAATCCGGCACATTCAAACTTAGCATAAATTTAAAGCAAAAACTATCAATTTTCAATTCTAAGCCGGCTTTGTCATTGTCATATATTTGATGTTAAACGAATTCCACCAGATTGTGCTACAAAATACAGTGCTACGGTGTGTCATATTCGTAGCGATAACATAATTATGAATATAAATAGGATATTGGAATCTGATCAACGGAAGCCATGATGCCTATTTTGTATTTGGAAATGGCAAGAATCTATCCAGCAACTAATAATTTATACTTCTCACTTTAAAAACATGGATATGTCCTGAGATTAAAGAAAAACTAATTATATTTGCATGCGAATAACTGTACATAATAGAAATAATAATAATAATAATAATAATAATAATGATAATAATAATGATAATAATAATAATAATAATAATAAGAAGAAGAAGAAGAAGAAGAGGTATGTGAAGAATAAGAAGAATAAGAATAAGAAGTATAATAATAATATCAAGAAGATCAAGAACAAGAACAAGAAGAATGTGAATAATAATAATAATAATAATAATAATAATAATAATAATAATAGTAATAATAATAATAATATCAAGAAGAAGAAGAAGAAAACGAAGACGACAACGGATTAGAAGTATGGTTTACTTAAAATGTTAAAACGGTTATTCCCTACAGGGACAGCCAACGGCATTATGGCTTATATTTTGTTTTGTGAATTCAGTTCCATATTTAACATGAGATGGACACACCTTTAGCAGTCTTTTCTTACTTTCTTCATCATATTGGTTTGTTGTATTCCATCTTTGGTATTTGTAGGGCTTTCTT